CTGTTAAAGGGATTGTGAGGGAGAAGTTTTTAAATATAATGACGTATATGAAGTTCACAGATGTCCTTTTAAGTTTGACCTTAATTTTTCTGGATGATCTTACTTATCAAATATCATTCATTATTAAAGTATTTGCTATAGTACACATTACCGTTTAGAGATGATTATTTCTGTAGTGTATTTGCTGTGTTCATCATTGAATAATATTAGTGTTTACTAATGAATTGTACATTAGACTATTAAATAGTAAATAATGTAAATACATAATTATGTTTTGTCTATCACATAATTGTCTATTTTTAATACTGTAATAATCACATAAAGTAATGGGCCATCCACTGTGCTGGTCACTTTTCCTTTTCAGTACTTCCTTTTCTCCTTATAATAAAGTAGGTGCCATTTTCATTTCCCAGGCGAAAAAAAAAAAGCCTTAGTGAGATTAAGTGGCTTGCCCAAAGCCATACATTGAGTAATTATCAAAACAAGAGCTTATGCCTGACTCATTTTGACCCTATTACTGCCCCACCCCCTTTTAAAATGGGAATACATAGATGAAGAGAGCATAGGCTTAGCCTTCCCACAAGCTAATAGTTTGGTTGGGGAGGAGTGGGTAGTTTATCAGAGTGAAAATTCAGAAAGCAGGAGGAATGAAGATCAAGGCACTGCGGAAGCACGGTGTAGACCACTTCTTTCTTGAAACTCTTTTTTTCCTTTGATTACATCTCCCAGTTTTTCATTATCTGCCTGATGTCTTTTAGTTTTATTTTGTGGGCCCAGAATTTTCTTTTCAGCATTTTTTCTTGCAACCATCACAAATATAAATAATGCCCAAATTTTCATCCTCTGTCTCGTCACTGAATTGCTATATTGTGTTGTCTGCTAAACATAAATGGATTATATGTATATGTATTTCCATCCTTACACATACCCACGTACACTATATATGTATGTATATATATATAGTAATGATAGCTATCATTTTTTAAGAGCTTGCCATACTCTAGGCATTGTGCTAAGTGTTTTACTTGCGTATTCTTATTTAATCTTTACAGTACCCTATAAGTCATTTATTACTATTATTCTTTTTGAAAGATGAGGAATTGAGGTCCACAGAGTTTAATCTACTGACGGGTAGAACCAGGAATCTGACAATAGAGCCAGCGCTTGTAGCTGCTTAATACCCATCAGATATCAGCCCAACATATCCCACTAAGTTCATTGAGTGTCTCTATAAGAAATATCTATTATAATTCTAGCTAATGTTGTTGATGTTTGTTCTGAGGCACTCTTTTAGCCTTTTAATCATTTAAGTCTTAACAACAGTCCTCTGAATAGTTGCCGTCAGACTGACTTTACAGATGAGAAAACAAATTGCCCAGCCTATACAAGTAACTGTGGGAGATTACAGTAATTCCAGGACTTGTGTTTTAAACAATTCCACTGCTGCTGCTGCTGCTGCTAAGTCGCTTCAGTCGTGTCCGACTCTGTGCGACCCCATAGACGGCAGCCCACCAGGCTCTGCCGTCCCTGGGATTCTCCAGGCAAGAACACTGGAGTGGGCTGCCATTTCCTTCTCCAATGAGTGAAAGTGAAGTCGCTCAGTCGTGTCCGACTCTTCACAACCCGGTGGACTGCAGCCCACCAGGCTCCTCCATCCATGGGACTTTCCAGACAAGAGTACTGGAGTGGGGTGCCATTGCCTTCTCATAAACAACTGCACTGTACTTACCTATACTGCGCTGCACTCCAATTAATGATACGACTAGTCTAATTATTCAAGTTTGAAAACCATGAGAATCATCCTTGATTCTTTGTTCTCTTTAGGAGTTTTTATTTCATCTGTCTAAAATGTCATAAATTTTCTGCTCAGGATAAAACAAAAGAACTAAGCCTTTCTTGATGGCTCAGAGTCATAGTTCAGCTGTCTTCCTGATTCTTAAATCACTATGAAGTGCCAGTCCCTCAGTTGTGTCCGACCCTTTGTGACTCTCTGTAGCCCCACCAGCTCCTCTGTCTCCGGAGTTCCCCAGGCAAGAATACTGGGGTGGGTTGCCATTTCCTTCTCCAGGGGATCATCCCCCAGTGATTGAACCCAGGTCTCCTGCATTGCAGGCAGATTCTTTACTGTCTGCGCCACCAGGGAATGACTCTGGAATGCTTTTAAGTATTAAATCTTTATTTGCTTTCTATTTTTTCCTATTTATGTGCTGCCAGGTCTCCATTAGTGATGTAGTTGGCTTTGCGGCCTCTCTCTTTTCTAATCTGGGGTAGATTGGAAAGATGATCAGGCTTACTCGACCTAAATCGTCTCTAAAGAGTTAACACTGGTTCATACCAATAAGGAGTAGGAGGTTCTACTCCGTGGATTTAATGATGTCTGTTTTGTCTGTGTACTGGGTAGTTGTTACAGAAGTTAACTCACATAATTAGTTTATTTGTATAAGCATTCTTTTTAGCATTTCTTATCAGACTTTTCTGTCCAGAGTACCACTAATACTAAAGGAACATGAATGTGGATCTCTGGGGATCTAGAACCTTAACTGATAACTGTTGAGCCAAAAAAAAAAATTTTTTTTTTAAGTCTTCAGTTTTATTCTTAAAAATGCATGCACATTATGTTCCAGTGTGAGAATTGATGTTTTAGACACCCTCATATTTTAAAAAATTGAAAATTTAAGAATATATATACTGAGTTTATCCGTGTTTTAGATACACAATGATATACACCCAGGTATTGATCTGAGAAGATGGAATGAATGCTTGTGCTAAACCTTCTGTTGCAGCAGTATTTTCAGTGGCAGACACAGAAATATTTAAATTCATTATCTGTGAATGTGCCACCCAGAAGTATACTTTACTAGTGCAATAATATATGCGCCTGGGAAAATCAGTTGTGATACGGAGTTTGGTTTCTCAGAAGTACATTGAAATGTCCATTTATTTACTTAAAATACTTTAGTGTTGGTTGCTCAGTCGTGTCCGACGCTGCGACCTCATGGACTGTAACCTACCACGCGCCTCTGTCCGTGGAATTCTCCAGGTAAGAATACTGAAGTGGGTTGCCATTCCCTTCTCAGGGGATCTTCTTGACCCAGGGATCAAACTGGGGTCTCTCGCATTGCAGGCAGATTATTTACCATCTGAGCTACCAGGAAAGCCCAAATACTTTAAAAGCATACTAAGTTAGATGCTTGTTGCCTTTCAATAATTAAAAAAAATTTTTTTTCAATATATACGTATTTTACTCAATTTTGATCCAGTTTGCTTCACTTTAAGACTAAACTGATTTAGATGTATTTAAGTTGTTTGTATAAGATGGGGATAAGAGAACTTAGTTTTATTTTTAACTTGTTGAGATAGTGGATAATCACATAATGTTGCATGAAGAATATAACTTTTATTTGGAAAATCCGTTTGACAAATAAATCTCTTTGTTTTAATAGGATCCTGACTGAATCAGTGCTTTATACTATCACTCAATACTCTCCATAAAGCTGAGATATGCCCACTGGTAAGATTTCTTTGAAATTTTTTATATGAAGTGCATATTATTTACTTTAAAGTTTGGATTATTTTAAGTGATTCTTTAACCAATTAAGGAGTAAAGTAGATATCAACCAAATATAAAATCTATGGATACTTCATAGTTTGATACTTCTTTCTGTGAAATGTTGGTAATTAAGGTTAATATGTATTCAGTGGCTGGCAATTTGGGACTCAGCTGGGCAGAGTAAATAACATATCGTTAGTTTTTATTTTTTATTATCAAGTGGATATTTCACTTTAAAGTAGACTTTGGTGAACTTTTTTGTAAAAGGCAAGCTAGTAAATACTTTAGGTTTGGTCTGTGCTGCAACTACTCAACTCTGCCATAGAAGCATGGAGGCAGCCATGATAATTCTTAACAGAGTGGGTATGGCTGTGTTTCAATAAAACTTTATTTATGAAAACAGTTGACTGTCCTGCAGGTAGTTTCCCAATACCTGCCCTGGGGCATTCATTCATTCAGCATTTATTTGAAACATGTTTGAGTACTTACTCTGTGCTAGACCCCATGATGATAGCTAGGGACGTCGTTATGACCTATTGGGTATAGTGGGAGAGTCACAGTATATTTATATACATATATATATATATAGGTATACAAATAATTATACAGATTCAAGCTGGGTTAAGTGCTGTGATGGAAAAAAGTCTGCAGTGTGAGAAATGGAGAAATATAGTTGAGGTTGTCAGGAAATGTTCCACTTTAGAGGCAACATTTAAAAACAGGCATATTAACCCCAGCCAGGTGTGAGGAGTTAGAGACGTCTGCACAGGGTAGAAGCAGCTTCATATGGGAAATTGCCTGTTTTGGCAGAAGAGCTAAAAAAGAAAAAAAAGGTATGTCTGGCTAGAATGTAGGAATGTCAGGGGCTGTTTTTTTTTAGCTGAAGCTGTAGAGATAGACAGGCCAGCAAATGAGAACCACGTAGGGCACGTGAACGACTTGTTTCATTTTGTTCCAAGTGAACTGGGAAACTCACAGTCTTAAGCAAGGACTAGCCTGATATGATTTATGTGTAAAAGAGGAAAGCAACTTTCAGCTTTTAATATTTGTTGAAGACTTGATTGTTGGCCAGTCAAGCGTTAGTCATTTTTCATGAAAAAGTGATCTTTGACTTAGGATTATTCTGACTTTACACATAAGGAGAATGAAGTTTAGAGATGTTAAGTGACTTGTTTTAAGGCCACATAACTAACAGTGGCAGATGCTGTGTGCATGGTAAGTAACAAGTTAACTTAGCAAAGGAAACTTTTGGAGGGAGTAGCCCAAAAGGTAAGTAGTGTATCAGTGAGTTTGGTGTCACCAAATCACAAAGAAAGGTTGTTTAAGAAAGGACTCGTCAACTGTTTTAATTAGAGCAGGTATTTGTGAGGCTGTGGGGTTTTATTTCTTATCATGATGTATGTGATAGTAGAGTTGCAGAGAAAATGACATGAGTCATTATCATTTGTAGTTGAGAGTGAAGCTAAAGTGAAGACCAGAGTTCGCTTTGAGGAGTTGCTGAAGGCCCACAATGATCTAATGCGTGAAAGAAAAAAACTGAAGAAAAAGATTGTCCAATCTGGAGAAAAAATCTCAGTGAGTAATTCATCATTTGGTAATGTTGACTTGAATATCTGCATAAAACCGAGAGTTTCTAAGGAACTTTGGAAATTAAAAACAGCAAAATGGTCAATCACATGGTAAAACAAAGCTTGCCTTCTAATCAGCCTCACTCTTGGAGTATTGAGTTCTTGAGTGCTGTCCTGCAAGAATACGGACCAACTGGTTGAAGTGACCAGGGATGCCAGGGAAATGCAAGCTAGCCGTATTACACGGTCTTGCAGAAAACCCTGATTTTTAACCCAGAATTGTGAAGAATTTATAAAGTAATATCTTATTTCAGATATGTAATAGCTTATCTTGGTATAGAATTCTTCATCTGATTCTACCTAGCAGAACCAGGGGAAATCAATGGAATCTTAAAGAAAGAGTGACCCTTTTGTAGTTGAGGTACACTTTCAAATGATAGAATTTTTTGGTATCACCCTTGAAGGGATTGAAAATACAGAACTTAAAGAAATACTAAACGAGTCAGAAATTAACTACAACCTGATTCGGGTATTAGAGTCTGTAATAGTATCCCAGTTAAGGCACTATTCGCTCTTCAAACCTGTCTCGCTATTTCCCTTTGTGTTCCCATTTCATACACTCCTTTGACCATAATCTCTGTGTAATCACACACACACAAGCACAAATAAGTAACTTCATGCAAGTTCTGGTAATTGGTACATGCATGTTCTGGTAATTGAGAAAAGGAATACACACATTCCTTTAACAGGAGATTTATGAGTTATATGCATCCTACGTTTTACTTGGAGCATATTCTAACCTGGTCTGTATTTTGTCATGAGACCTCTTCATTTTAGTGTTCTGCCTGGCAGCCATCAGTGTAATAATTATATTCTTGAGTGAAACAAAAAAAGTATTGACCTTGGCTAGGATCCAGCCGGATGCATGTAAGGAGTTCCTAGTACCCCAGTGTACTACACTGCATACAAAGTAAGAACCACTGAGAGAATGGAGCAGATGAGGTCTACCCTAGTGGATGCTGCTCTAAGATAGAACATGCTGCTTTTGGTGTATGGTAGGGAATAGTGGCATATGGACAGTGAACATTGCTTACTGGTATATGCCCTCACCTTGAGGAAAGTGGTATACATTTGGCAAACCAGAAAGAGCCCTGGATGCAACTACAGAATATTTTTATGGACTCAGACCAAGTGGAATTCGTACTTTCTCTCTCTGTCAGAACTGGGCTTTGTGAGCTTGAACAAGGTACAGTTTAAGCCAGGGATGCTAAATTCAATGGATAACCAGAAAATGGGCAGAAGATGTGTCCACTTATCTAAGATCCAGTTTAGGTGTTGGGGACACCTAAGGGATAGGTCATTAAAAGTAATTTACTCAGTCTCTTTTGGCACACACCAGGCCATCCACAATCTCTTAATTTAAAAATAAAAGTATTTAGGAAGAATTTTTCAGCCGGACAGAAGCAGATTATTCCTAGAAAGCAAAAGTATTTTTGAAATGCTTTGCTTTAACAAATAGAGGAGGATACCTGTTTTTATTTACTAAAATACAGTGCTCCTTTTCAAGGGAGAGCTTCAGCACTTCTAAATATTTTATGTATATTCACTAGTTTTTAATTTAATACAAACAATATAATTATGAAGTTTCATTTACATTTACAGATAGGGAAACTAGATCACAGAGAGTTTGAATAACTTACCCAGAGTTGCATAGTTAATGATAAAACCTTGATTCAAACTGACAATCTGACTTCAGAATCTACTCTCTTTACCACAACCTAATAGGACCCTGTTTAGTAAAGTAAGAAGTGATAGGACCTCTTCAGAATAAGAACTCCCATGTGTAGAACAGGCTGAGACTAAAAAGGAAGCGGACTTAAATAAGAAGATTATGCAAAGAGAAAGCCATCGAAGAATTCATAATAATGGAAGGTTTATCTTACTGTTTTTCAACTGTCTATCAGGCACTGTGATAAGGTTTTTACAAATTATCATTTCTGATTCTCCTGTTAATCATGAAAGTAGGTATTAGAGGTCTTATTTTGCACATGAGAAATTTTGTGACTGTCTGAATAGAAAACCACTTACTATCTCTGCCAGGTTCATATAGCCAGAAATAGAGTAAGCTGGAGTAATTTATTTATATGTAGGTGGTGCTAAATGTATGTATGATTCTTATACATAAAGAATCCACCTGCCAGTACAGGAGACTTAAGAGACACAAGTTTGATCCCTGGGTTGGGAAGAGTCTCTGGAGAAGGGAATGGTTACCCATTCCAGTATCCTTGCCTGGAGAATTCCATGGAAGAGGAGCCTGGTGGGCTACAGTCCGTGGGCTGCAAAGAGTCAGACACAGCTGAGCACACACACACATTTTTGTATGTATTAACATGTATCAGAAATTTTATTTAGCCCACTGATCAATGAGGGAACCAGTAAGATGTTATAACCAGTTCAAATGGACATGATTTACAGAGATTTATATTCTTTACCAGGCAAAATTCAGTTGCATTATATTAGTAGAAATCATTTACATAGTTTTCCCTTCTCCAGGGCATCTTCCCAACCCAAGGATCAAACCCATGTCTCCCACATTGCGGGCAGATTCTTTACCAGCTGAACCACAGGGAAGCCCATATTATTATTTACCAGACAAAATTTAGTTGCATTATATTAATAGAAATCTTTTATTTTTGTTACACTAAAGTAAAACCAAAACAACCTGAATCCTTCTACTTAGAGACAACCTACATATACAACCTTTGTGCCATATTTTTTAATATCATGTAAGAATTTTAGAATCTGGATTTAAAACTACAGTCTCTCCGTGATTCTTTCTTCATTGCTGCCTCCAAAACTGTACCTCAGGCCTAAAATAATAGAATTGACACTAAGGAAAAATTTAGTGATTGGCCTACAAATGTGAGAGAAAATGGCTGAAACTAAAATGAAAGATACAGTAAATAAGGACATATAGAAATACTTGACTTACAAGTCTATGTTCCCAGACAGCACTAATGGAGCAGAAATAATAGAAAGGGGATGAGGAGGAAACTTTCCTGAGAATGAAAAAGGATGTGGGAAGAGATGAATCCATCTTGCATTCCAGGTAAAGTTTGAGATGAGAACTCTATCTGGAAACTTAAATTTCAAGGGAGAGAGAAATTTTGCTAGCATCTAAACAGAAGAAACACCTAGTGTGTTTCTAGCTTCTCTCCAAAAACACTTAAGTCGAAAGACAATGGAGCAAGATCATACAATATTTAGGGAAAAACAGTGTTCCAAGGGATCTACTGGCCTACATTGTCAGTCGTGTATGAGGGCAGTAGGGAGCATGTGAATTGGGAGAGAATTATGACTGGTGTTCCCTCCTGAAAAAATCAACAAAACTACGGAAGGTAGATTAGTTGAATGTGTAGTACCATCTCCAGAGACATGAATGAAAACAAAGTGTTTAGGAATAGAGAGTTTATAATCTGAAAATAAATTTGGATGAGCCTTGAAACCAGTTATGTATCTAGTAGAAGCTTCTGCGTTGTTTCTGCCAGGGGCGTCAAGGAGCTATGGTGCAGGGACTAGTACTGATAACATTGCTTTAGCTTCTGGGGGAAAAGGCCATTTACAGTCTCATTTTATCTCACGTTAAATTACATTTCAGATATCTTAAAAAGTTAAATGTAGAAATCTAAATTAAGAGACAAATACTTGAAGAAAATAGAAGTGGGCTGGTTCAGTTTTCCAGTGTGGGAAGATACTCCGATCTTAAATGAAAGACATCCCAAATAATGAGAATATTCTCTGTCTGCACACGGAAGACCAGTAAATACTTGTTGAAGGAATAGATAAATCTGAGGTAGAAGATACTTTGAGTCAGAAACAAATACAACTAAAAGTTAGCTAATTCACTGAAACTGATTTTTTTTTTATAGTCACAGATCTAGTACTCATATAGCCAATAACATAGTAATAGCTAAAATTTATTGAGCGCTTGTATTCTGGAATCAGAAGGTTGTTTTTAGTGTTCTATTCCCCTATCAATCTAAAGAAGAACCTATGAGTAAGTTCCATTCCAAATGTTAATAAATAAAGAAATGCTACAAATAAATGCCTTGAATAGTAAGATACTATATCTCTTAGGGCTTTCCAAGTGGTGCTAGTGGTAAAGAACCCACCTGCCATTTCAGGAGACATAAGAGACGTGGATTCGATCCCTGGCTTGGGAAGATCCCGTAGGGAAGGGCATTACAACTCACTCCAGTATTCTTGCCTGGAGAATTCCATGAACAGAGGAGCCTGGTGGGCTGCAGTCCAAAGGGTCATGAAGAGTCAGACATGACTGAAGCAACTTAGCACGCAGGTGTCTTAGGTGAGCAAAAGGTATGAAAAAACATTAATGACAAGAGAAAATGACATCAACTAATAAAAATACAGGAACGCTTTAAAAGTGATTTAGGTTGGAAACCAGATTGGTATTTTTACTTACCAAAGAAGTATTCAAAAGTTAATCACCAGGGTAGAGAGCAAAACTTTTTGATATAATGTTCATAAAAAGATGAAGCAGTACAAGTATGGACACTTTTTCAGAAAGTTTAACTGTATAAAGGAGTATTTTCAGTGCTGATATTTGGGAAGATAAGGGAGAGATTTGATGATACAGGACAGGAAAATTTTTTAGAAATACAAGTTAAGACCCACCTCTTTATAATGAGAAGGAAAGGGAAAAAGATTGTTTAGATTACATGAAAATTTGTAGATTTGGTAGTAGGAAGTTGCAGCTTTCCATTTGGTGGCTTTTGACTCACCTGTGAAAGTGAGTCAAGAAGTGACAACATTGAATATCAGAGGTAAGTGAAGACAACTTGAAATAGCCAGTATGCAAAAGGTACAGAAGAATGCATATAAACAGATTATGCAGCATGGGAGAATTGTTTGTAACTTTGAGGTCTCAGTTGAATTTATAGGCCATATCTTTATAATAGCACCAATCTTTGAAGTGGTTCAGTTTCT